GCCGTCTGAGCCGATGTGATGAAGTCAATGTCTGGGTTCCAGACCACCTGAGTGAAGGCATGGGGCCGGTCAGCGCTCGCATTGATAGCGTGATATCGTAAGCCCTCAAGGTGGAATAGGAGTTCATTGCTTTCCTGGGAGATCGCGCGAATATCACTGACGTAGCGTTTATTGTCATCTGGCCGGCCAACGCCGCTCCATACAGCCTCGGAGGCTACAATCGCCTCACCGCTGGATGGAACCTCGTGCGGGAAAATGACAAGGTTATCAATGAGGGCAGGGGGCATGAGGGTGTTAATCGCAGAATGATGACCACGGTTCAGGGCAACAGTGGCAATCTGTAAGCAGCCGTCGATCGCGGCGGGGTGCATTGCGTACTGGCTCTGCGGATACCGAGACTCGGGGGCTTGCAATCGCACCAAAGCCCGGCATTGACGCGAGTCTGCCTTGGCTTCGACTTGTTGGCAGGGCTGGAATGCAGGTCCAAAGTGGTAGCCGACGTGGCGCATGGCCTTGTACCATACCGCGCCTGGGACTGGATGTTGCAGAGGTGCAATGTCGAGGGCACTGGTTGGTGGCCGGGGAAGGCTCTTGTCCCCAACACTCACAAGTCCCCGGGAGTGTTCTTCAATTGAGCCATCCTTTGTAATTGTGGACACAGTGAACTCGTGCCATGACTCCTTGGTGCTGGAGCACGGTTGCAAAGACAACAGGATCTTGGTCCCGCCGTTTGTGTCCAGCGTAAGCATACGTGGGAATGTCACATTTCGCAATTTGAAGGGGAGTTCTGAGGCAAGAGTCCCCTCTGGAATCTCTCCCATCGCATACTTCTTCTGGTAGATCGCTTCAATAGCCATGGCAATGTAGCCCGCCGCGGGGAAGATGACGCTGTCTCCGAGGAGATGGTCACGTAGCCAGGTGATGTCGCTGAGACGCAGCACGTTTTTCCATACCGGATTGGCCCATGGGCTACCGAGGATTTTACTACCAAGGAGGTCATGATAGGGGAACTTGCGGTAGCGCCAATCGTGACTCGATTCACTCTCGTGCCAGTACTTGACGGAGTGGTTCCACTGGTAGTTGGGCAGGTCTGATACAAACATCGGGGGAGTATCGGCAGCGTCGTCGTTAAATGCCTGTAGAGAAATGGGGTAACCCATGGTGAACAGTGTCCCGGCTGCGTTGAGCAAGGTCAAGACTGCGAGAGGGCCGCGCTTCCAGGCCGAGCCATACCCGGTCGAGGATGAAGCGGCCTTCTTGATCTGATTGATCGGCCCTAAGAGTGCGTCACTTGGCCCGATTTCAAGGAGGTAATCCACGCCCTCTGCCCCTGTCACTAGCTGTTGAGTGGCCTGGCTGAAGAGCACAGGTGAGACCATGTTGGCTACCCAGTAAGCAGGCCCCGGTGGATTTGTAATGGTTTCGCCAGTGGTTGATGATACCATAATGGATCCCTTGTTTCCATCGTGCTTCGGCCACTCGACATGTTGCCTCAGGAGTTCCTCATAACGGCCAGCGATAGACCCCATGTGGTGGGAATGATATGCCGCATCCACGCGAAGGAGTCTTGCGAAATGACCAGCATCCTTGACTCGTTCTTCGATGGCGACAAGCTCTGACTTCACCCCAGATAGGGTGACACCCTGTGGGCTGTTGACGCAGGCAACCTCAACAGTCGTGCCTTTCACATACGGAAGAACTTGGTCGGGCCCTGAGACCGACAGCCATCATCCCGACAGGGACTTCGTACACAGCTTCAGAAGTTGCCTTGCCCCGATAGTACGCTATCAGAATAGCCTGCTCGGGAGAGAGGTAGCCTGCAGCGACAGCTGCTGCAATTTCTCCGGACGAATGCCCAACCACCGCTTCTGGAACCACACCGGCAAGCTGGAATACAGCTAGGATCGCTAGTTGGAGTGCCGTGACAAGCGGCTGAGATAGTTCCGGGCGCTGAACCTGGGCATCATCGGCAGTCAATTGCGCATAGAGCGACCAGGAGGGCGGATCATGAGCGTCTTGTAGTACTCTATCCAAGTGCTGGATAGTGCGAGCTGCGAGGGGAAATGATTCGACAAGCCCTCTTCCCATTGTGGGCCACTGGGCTCCTTGCCCAGTAAAGACGAACCCAACTCTGGGCTTCTGGCCGGATACATGTCCTCGACTCAAAGTGGGTAGGTCAAGGGTTAAGGTGCTCGTGACGGCAAAGGCGCGGTGATAGTGGCGGGATCTCCGTTCGCTCAACGTATACGCAAGATCGCGAAGTGAGACCTTCACAGCGGGATCGGATAGATGACGATCTAATGCAGCGGCCTGGGCATCCAGTGTCTTTTCGTCGTTTGCTGAAAAGACTAAAAGATAGGGTCGCGTGGCTGATTCTTCGGCAAATATATCATCCGTCTCTGTGTTTATATAAGAAGAGACGTGGTGGTGACCCAGGTCCTTAGCCTCGTCAATGATGACATGAGCATTGGAGCCCCCATACCCAAACGAATTGATGCTAGCTCGCCGCGTGTCAACCTTTGGCCAGGGAGTAGCTGTCCTTGAAGTATATAGCCGGAGTGCTTCAAAGTCGATCTTAGGACTAGGGCTTAAAAATGTCGGATTGCCAGGAATAACACCATGCTCCAAGCTAAGAACGGTCTTCAGAAGTCCGGACAAGCCAGCGGCTGGTTCCGAGTGACCGATATTGCTTTTCACGGAGCCAATTCGCAAGGGACGGCCAGGCTTTTGGAACGGTGTGAAGACGGTCGCAACACCTTCCGCCTCCAGAGAATCACCCGCTCTTGTTCCGGTGCCGTGGAACTCAACGTAGCTCGTTAGCGAGAGATCCTTTATTCCTGCGTTCTGATACGCCTGTCGAATAGCAGCCGACTGTGCTTCGGGGTTGGGGCTCGCGATACCAGCGGTCCAGCCGTCACTATTGGTGGCAGTTCCGCGGATGACGGCGCGAATAGGGTCTCTATCCTTGATAGCATCGCTTAGGCGCTTGAGATACACCATGTTGACTGCCTCAGCCTTGATGTATCCGTCTGCCTTAGAGTCGAACGTGTGACAACGCCCAGACAGGGACGCGGCACCGTTCGCACCCATGTAATGATCCATCACATGCTCCGGGCTGCAGTAGAGATTGGCCCCTGCTACGATTGCCGAGGATATCTCATTGGATTGGAGGTATCTCATCGCAAGGTCTAACCCGATGAGGGCCCCGGAGCAGGCAGTGTCGATTGTCATACTATAGGGAACCTTATTAGCGACAGCCCGTTGACACGCTAGGGAATACAACTAACCTTGGCCCTTTGATGTTGAGGAAGTGACTCAGGCGATTGCTGAGCATGGCTCTACCCACGCCAACAACTGTGGCCGAGGCACGATTTTCTGGATCGCGCGCCTGCATATCACCATAGTCACTGGCAAACGAGCTGACGAAGCAGCCTACAGGCGCTCCGTCGAGTTGCTCCAAGGTGACGCCCGCATTTTCGAGGCCTTCGTAGACAACCTCCAGTAACTGGCGTTGCTGTGGATCCATGGAAGTGGCCTCGATTCCTGAAAGCCGAAAGAACTGGGCATCAATATCGCGGGGGTCGACGTCTTGAAGGAACATTCCTCCCGGGGAGGCCATGGTTTGCGGCTTGAGTGAGCCATCGTAATGTGTATTCAGAGAGTATCGAGTTCCTGGGGGCGTGTTGATGGCAATTCGCCCCTCCTCAAGGAACCGCCAGAAGGCTCGTGGGGTGTGACATGAGTCCGGGAGCCTGCAGGCCATGCTTACCACGGCCACAGGCTCTTGGGTATAGGGGCTACTGCCGTTAGGCAGTGCACCGTGAGCATTCTCACTTAGGGTATGGTTCGCGTGATCGACTCCACCGACTTCGGTGTGTCCATTCATGCTACCGTTTGAGAGTCCAGGCATCTTGCTAAGTGTATTGAAGAAGAGGGTCGGTAGACGTAGGATGGAGCCAAAATGCCAGTGCTAACCAAGCTGCATATAACGCAACACGGCTGGCCCATATCGATACTCTCCCTGGCCGCTCTCTACATGCACTTCGGCACTGTTCCGTCTCTCTACTCAAGATTGCCCTATCAGACGTGTGCATCGGCCAACAACTTTCCCGCCCCATGTCCGCGACACGGCATCACGCCATCTCTGGCGTCTCGGAGTTCTTTGGTATGCCCGGTGATAAGAAAGGATCATTTTTGACTCACACTTCAGGCGCCCCATGGGCCAGTCAGGAGTGTATACCCTGTAGAGGTCAAGCCACATGTATGGAAAGCAAACCGTATTGGCCTGTGTCCGGACCTTGAGTACACCAGGGGCCCAGACGAGCGGAGTAAAGCTGACAGGCACAGTCACGCTGTGTTTGTCCGATACATACGCAGCCAAGAAATTGTGGAGCTGGAACAGTCCACCAGGTGGCCCAGGCCCCTAGGGCCGTCCCGTGGGGGGCCGGCCCGTCCTGTCCTGTTCGGGCCGCATGCATGTAGATCTGGTCGGAAGGGGCGTGTGGGGAGGAGAGGAAGGTCGGATGAGAGAGCTATTTAGCTATCCAGCAATATTTAAGGCATCCGTACTTTCCGAGCATGATCTCACGTAAGATCTCACCTAAGATTTGCACGGAGCTGCATCAAATCATCCTCCCGCGAGGCTGGATGGAGTAATCGCACTTCGATCCTTCGGTCGCACTTCGATTCATGGAAGAGGGGCTCGGCGTTATCTCACAGGCGAACGTGCCAATAGAATCCAGCCTGATCCATTTACGGCATCTGCTCGTGTGATCGGCGGTCCAGGCCATCATGTCGACGCTCGAAGGAATGGGGACAACATCAATTGGGAATTGAAAATTACATTACGAACCTTGCAATTCATACACTGAACTTTGCAAATATTGCCCAGCAAAGATCGGAGCCTAGAGTGAGGGACACTCACCTGTTTTCAGGCTATAGCTCGAAACTTGTCTCTTCGTCTCTATACTATCGCAACACTTGATCTCACACATCCAAACATGCCTGCCCACGAGGACGTCCAGTTCCGCACCCTTGATAACACTGTCCTTCGCGGCCGTCTCTTCCCAGCAGACCAGCGAGGACCAGGAATTATCATGACACCGGGCGTACGTACGGCTAAATCCCCCGTATAGCCCGTTCCACTAATAACATCTCCCAGTTCAACGCAACCAAGGAAATGCTCGGCCTCCCAACCACGGCAGCATCCTTCCAACGCGCCGGCGTCACTGCCCTGAATCTATGACCCGCGCGGCGTGGGCCTCAGCGACGGCACCCCACGCAACGACATCAACCCCTTCCAATCCGTCGACGACCTCTCCGACGCCCTAACCTACCTTCTCTCCCACCCAAACATCGACCGGTCGCAGGGCGTCGCCCTCTGGGGTATGTCACTCGGCGCCAGCATTGCCCTCGTAACAAGCGCACTTGACCCACGCGCCCGCTTCACAATCGCCGTATGCCCCGTCGTCGGCGCAACGCAGAACTTACCCAAACTGTCTGCCGTGCTGTCCAAGGCCGCACAGGACCGCGAGTCTCGTCTCAAAGGCAACGACCCCTTCTACGTCCCCATGCTGACGAACACTGGCGAGAACCCAGCCGGTTTCAACTTGGGCTTTGAGCGCGAGGTCGCGATGAGATTACTCAATGCGCAAGACGTGAATGATCCGCTGCGTGCGGAGCTCGCGCCCAACCATGTCAATCGCACGACGGTAGGCACGTATAGGAACCTGCTGCTTTGGGAACCGGGCCATATGTGGAAGTATATTACGCGGCCGGTGCTCTTTGTTCTGGCGGAGCAGGATGCGGTTGTTGGCACGGAGGCGCAGAAGAGGCACTTTAGCGCGTTGATGGTGGATAAGGAGCTGTATGTACAGGAAGGGGCGGTGCATATGGATATTTTGGAGGGGGCGCATCAGGATGCTGTTAATCGCGTACAGACGGAGTTTGCGTGGAAGCTATGGTATTAATAAGGAATCGGGATACGTGATTCGATGACGAGGATTGTCTGTGTCTATTACTGTCCGAAGTGTTAGGTTACTAGGGGCATGAGATACTTAGTGAAGAGGGGAATGCTTCCAAGGTTGCTAGTTAGTGCACTCTAAGGTGCACGGAGTAACATAGCGGTAGAGAGCACCTGAGAGGAACCTAAGAGTGGAAGAAGTGGCAGAGGTGTTCTCGGTTGCTATCACTGCCGATGTGCGCCTTACATACAAATTTCACTTGGTCATTCTAATTTTCCTTTCTTCAGGGCTGCTGTCCCCTATCCCACCACTACGTTAAGTGTGAGTACATTTGACCTACCTCTCCCGTCCACCCTCTGCGGATGAACCCAAGACCACTTCTACATAGCGACTCCAAACCACAACCCCGCACACAGAACCCCGTTAACCAGCAACTGATGAAACGCGACCCAAAGCGCAGAATTGACATATTTGGGCGCCAGAACCGTCCACAGCACGGCATCATCGCGCCACCAAAGACACGACGCCATCATGGCCAGAGCACCAATCGCAGAAAATAATGCTTGGTAAGTGGCGTACTCTACAAAGGCTTGCAAGCTAGAGGCTCGGGTCTTTGATGTCGTTGTCGCGCTTAGAAGCCGTAACCCAGCAAGAGACCACCAGACGGGTCCGATCCAGTTGCTTAAGATAGTTTGCAGTGAGACGAGTATGACATTCAGCATGCTGTCCGTGTGTGAGATGCCATTGTATCCGTTCATCATGTCCAGTGAGGCGAGGGAGTTGTTGCGCCCGCCAGAGAAGAAGGCACTTTGGGTGAGGAGGAGGACGGTGAGGGATATTGTGGAGGGCTTTGCATCGGCATTTGAGAAGATGGACACTTAGTTATAACACATGGTTAGTAAGCTTTAAGTATGGTGAGCTAATTAGGAAGCATACCGAGGCAGTGAATTTGCAGGTCGAAGATCAGGAATAGGATGAGGCTCTTTGGGCGGGCTTGGGCGCGGAGATAAACATTGGCGAGTTCAACGACGGCGGTAAGTATGGCTAGGTACGTGGGGTAACATTAGCTATAGTTGCAGCATACATAGTAGACAGACGAACCTTGTCTAGAATGATGGTTCACGCTCACGGACTGGCGCCTAGCAAGCAACAAGATGCATAGGGCCAATAGCCCGCTCCACAACGTCCAGAGGGCTAAATCTCCAACATCCCCGGTGAAGGTTAACTGGAGCCTTGGAGGTAGAAAGTCCAGGAGCTCGGGGTTGAAAGTATGCGTTGAGCTCATTTTGAAAAGCACCGTCAAGGCGCACACGAACCACGCAAGGAGTGTTGAGGCGGACCTATTTACGCCGAGGGCCACACTGATACTTTCGGAAAGCGTTCGTGCTGCCACGACATGCGCGCCCGCCGCTAGAATCCACAGCCATAGTGGGTTGTCGTCGAGGACGCCATGCAGAAACGTCCCGGCGCCCCAGGGCGTTTCCGCAGCCGGGTTCAAGCTCTGTCCGGCAATATGTAGGAGAGCGAGAAATACGACTCTTGTTCTGGCATTTCCTGGGGCTGATCTAAATAGGAGTTAGATAACATGTCCAAGGCTAATGTGGAGATAACATAGCATGATGATCATACCGTTGGAGTCCTATATAAACAACCCATGCGAGTGATGTCCAATACCAGAAATGGTGTTCCTCTGCCACTAGGCGGCTAGAGAACATTGTTGTACCTTGGAGAACGGCGAAAATTCCCGCAATTAGCCGATCAGAGTCATTATACTTATTGTGGTGAAAGAGTAGGCTTGATGATAGAATAACTACCACGAAAGATAGCAGTGCTATGCCCGTGCCCATGCGGGAGAAGTTGAGATTATTATGCGGCACACCAAGAACCTGCTGGGCCTCGACGCAGACCTGTTCCGGATTAGTTCGCCATGTAGGTATCTATCAAATGCCAAGTAGACTTACTTCCTTTAGCAACTGCAAAGCATCTTGCGTGTGGGAATCCCTACCCCACGCTGTCCCAGGTTCTCCAGAATTGAACCTCTCCCATAGACACAAAACGCGGCGCACTCTGTCCGAACCACAAAGACACGTTCCATCACACAGATCTAGATTCACCGGCATTTCTAGATTATATTTCAGACGCAGAAGGCTGATCATCTGCTGGGCATTGCGCATTAAGACGCCCGCCTGGTCACCCGCCTGGGGGAAAAGTGCAAGTAGCTCGTCGATATAAACACCCACACTTCCCACGGGAATTGAGACCCCCAGGAGTGTCGACAGTGTCGGGACAATGTCAACCTGGTTAACAACAGAATAATAATTATACTCCGAACTGTGCGGGTTGGAATTCGGCAGTGCCTTTCCCAGCGATTTGAACTTCGGCGAGATGAATACCAGAGCAGAAGCAATTTCCGCGGCTGAATCACCGCCGTGGTTGCCGTTCTCCGTCATCCCGTGGTCGCCAGCTAGGACGAATAGAGTGTTTTGGTGATGGGACAGCCTCTCTAAGCCAGAGTATATCTGGCGGACTACGTCGTCCATTTCGACTTGCTTTGCTCTCACGATCGAGCTGCAAACGTAAGAATCAGAAAATCATCTGGATCTAGTGGAAGGAAGATATAGTGACGGGGGCTAGTGTACCTTCCAGCACCTCCAAAATGAGCTGCATTATCAAGACCAAGGTAGTGCAGGACCAGACCCTTGTAGTCATCTCTGTCGAGTTCTGAGCCCAATCCCCTTGTAACGTTGCTGTCAACCTCGCTGAAGTTCTGAATGTTACGACCACATTGTTTCAGTCAAATGCAATATAGTCTGCATTGGCAAAATCCAACTCACCGGTAGATAAAAGGAGTCAACCGTTTCGAAGCGGTCCCATATCTCCGGGTACAGCATACACCACATGTCGATGCCGTAGTAGACCATCTTCTTTTCCGGCGCACGTTCTGACTTGAGGCGGGACAACCATGTATCCTCCCCCACAAGGCGTCTTGCGTCGGCGGAGTGCATGACATTGAGCCACGCGTCGAGGAAAGATTGCCCGCTGCCCTGCGTCATGGCTTTAATCCGCGACAGGGTTAGGGTGGGCGGGGCAGCAAGAGCAGTGAACGGAATTGCGGAGCCGGATTTTATGAGACTGCAGAGCGTTAGATAAAGACACGATGATGGGTTCCAGCGGGAATGGAAACGCAAAGTACCTCCGCGTAAAGTTGAAGCCCGAGTCTTCCTCATAGACGAAGTCACTAGGTACAGATGTCAGCCGGCTTAGCCCACGTATTCGGAGCGAGCATTTAAAGGCAGTGTCGCACCTGCGTAGCGCATCTATAACCATAAAAACAACTTTCTCGAAAGGCGCAGACGGCTGGGGATCATATTCATCCACTCCAGCCTTTTCCAACCCAGCCTGTTCGAGGTTTTGATCGGATGCCAGCGTTGGAGGAGGGCAGAAATATCCGGCCATGAAGACCCCAACCCCCAATACAATGCCGATGTTTGCGAATAGGATTAGCATCTTCGTGTGCCTAAAGAGAGCCATTGCCAACAGCTACAATTGATCGACCGGCATGTGCTCCTAAGCCCTTGAGATAGCACTATGTGAATTCTTGAATACTAACTCTCGAATTGCAAAATCACGTCCATGTACTTAAAGCTGCAAGTAACTCGTTTCTGAAAATTACTAGCTCTTGATACCTCTGTACCAACAGCCCTGGCCTGACTCGGAACGTTGAAAGGATCCGGCCCCCAATTGTCTTGCATTCGGGCGTTGAATCGGGGGGCTTGGGGTTTCATCGGATGCAGCTCCATGCAAGGCACATGCAGTACCACCTTGGGGCACGCGGTGCATATACCAAGTCAGGTAATCTGAGATAATCACTGCTGTGGCGTCTTATTGGCATGAGCTGTGCATCTTGCGTGGCCAGTAGTAAATCCTTCGAGCTCAACGAAACCCAAAATAGAAAGACGCCACGCGAGTATAATACAGCTTCGCTCCGCTTACTACTAACAAACAGTATTCGATCGTACAGTGACTTTCCACCATTCTTTTGCCTAGTTTTGAATTTCTGTCCACGCTCGGAAAACGCGCGAGATTCCATTGAACAGACAAACTACCGCCCTGAATCATGCTCGGGCCCCATGTTTGCCTGATCGGGTTTGTCGTATTTTTGGTGCATTTCATTGCAAGACGAGTCTATCAATGGAGTCGTCTGCGGCATATTGCAGGTCCCCCATTGACAGGGTGGACAAAATTATGGTTGCTAAAACAGGCCTGGTCCGGCAGGCTCTGTGACAGCCTCTACGATGCTTGTAGAGAATATGGTATGGACGACCCCCTTTATACACCACGCAGTGATTGACAATTTCCCCCAGGCCCGCTCGTACGCATTGGGCCAAAGTGGGTGTTGTGCGGTGATCCCACTGAGATCCGCCGAATATGGGGGATAAATTCTGGCTATTACCGCTCGGACTGGTACAAGGCTGTTCGTCTAAACAGTGAAGTGGATAACGTCTTGTCGGTGATTGATAATAAGAAGCATCACCAGCTCCGAAGCCATCTCAGGCCGGGGTACGGAGGCAAGGGGATCGCAAATGAGAAACAGCTTGTTGACGAGCAGATCAACAAGCTCATAGCTCTAATTGAGCAGCGATATATCTCTACCCAGACAGCCTTGCGACCGTGCAATCTAGCTCGAACGATGCAGTACCTGACGCAGGATGTCATCACTGCCGTCGGGTTTGGAAAACCAGCAGGCTACCTGGAGGCGGATCGCGATATGTATGGCATCCTGGAAACGTCCGAGGCCCTCCATCGACCCGTCCATATGGTTACTCTGCTTCCAACTGTTAGAAAGATCCTAGAAAGCCGCCTGTTGAAGCCCTTCCATCCTAAACCCCATGACGGGCGTGGGGTTGGTCGGTTCCTCGGTTACATCAAGGACCTTGTCGATGAAAGATATGCCGACCTGAAAACCAGCCATACCGATATCCTCCAGTCCTTCATCAACTCTGGTTTGAGCAGACCCGAAGTTGAGTCGGAAGCACTTGTGACCGTGTTCGGCGGCACGGATACGACATCCACTGCCCTCCGAAACATTATCTTTTATTTGTCAACCACCCCTCAAGCATACCGGGCACTTCAAGCCGAGATCGACGGTGCTGTAAAAACAGTGACAAGACCAGTCATTAGCGATGCCGAGGCACAAGCCCTGCCATTTCTCCAGGCATGCATCAAGGAAGGACTCAGGATTTTCCCACCTAGTATGGGTCTCATGGGGAAGGTGTGCCCGCATGACGATATAATCTGCGGCGTCAAGGTCCCCGCAAACACCAAGGTCGCTTGGTCGGCGCTGGCGATTATGAGGAACCGAAGCATATTTGGACAAAATGCAGACGTTTATGATCCGCAGCGGTGGATCGATGCACCGATAGAAAGGGCGAGGGAGATGGATGCATCGTACGGTTTAGTATTTGCCACTGGAACCAGGTGGGAGTGCTTAGGGAAGCGACTGGCGTATATAGAGCTCGGAAAGACGATCTTCGAGGTAGGCGCCATCTCCCATGTCCCGGAATCGCTTGTTCTAATAAGAATTCTTGCAGCTCTTCCGTCGGTTCGATTTTGCCATGGTTGATCCGATTGTGCCTTTTCGATGGGCTAACCATGGACTAACAGCGCATTTTGGTATGAATGTAAGAATAACTCGGCGGGTAGGACTAGACGGCGAAGCATCTTAACTGTACGCATAACGTAGCCTGCGATGTTATTCCAGCAATTCTGGTAGTGCTCGACTTTTTTGGCTGAAATTGAAGTGCATCCCGAATTTCTGCCCAGGTGTGTCCTGAGGATGTAAACAAAGCCAGGTCAGGTGGAGAGTGACCGGGGTCCGGAGCTGTTATTTAAGGGCCGCTCTCCCTCGTTCCTTTTCCCCCGAAACAATTATTCGCTCTTAGGCGCATTCATCTCTACCATGTCCAAGGCTCTTGAGCTTGCTAGAGTTTCTTCATCAATTAATTCAAAAAATATCGTGAACAATCGTGCCCATTGGCCCGCGCCAATGTTCCTAACACCACCGTTGACAATGCCAATGCCGCTCCCGCGCGCGCGCCCTCTGGACCCAGCGAGCAGGCCACAGAGTCTCCTCGACTGAGCAGCGCCAACATCGCCTGGACTATGATGTCCCTCTGTCTGTCCGTGCTCCTCTCTGCCCTCGATTTAACAATCGTGACTCCCGCAATTCCCGCCATAGTCGGCTCGTTCAAGTCTGCCGCCGGTTATACTTGGGTGGGGGGCGCCTATACTCCAGCCTACGCAGCGGTAACTCCGGTATGGGGGTCCGTCTCCGACATCTGGGGCCGGAAGCCGATCATGCTGATCGCGGTAGCCATTTTTCTGGTCGGAAGTCTTGTCTGTGCACTTGCACCGAAAATGAACGCTTTGATCGTAGGCCGTGCAATTCAGGGACTGGGGGGCTCGGGTATGGGGATAATGGTCAATATTGTTGTCAGTGATATGTTCTCGCTGCGGGATCGAGGGCTATATCTCGCCATCACCTCACTGGTTTGGGCGGTTGGGAGTGCCATAGGACCGGTATTGGGCGGTGTTTTTACAGAGAGGCTGAGGCAAGTGCCGCTCCATTTGAATAACAACAAGGCTGACCGTTGTTTAGCTGGCGATGGTGTTTTTGGATCAATCGTGAGGCATTCTACTTCATGTGATGGCCCTAAGCTAACTCAACCTACAGTACCGGTCGGGGCCGTCTCCTTTCTCGTCTTACTATTCTTCTTGAGAGTCCAAAGCCCCCGAACTCCAATCGCCGCCGGCCTAAAAGTCATCGACTGGACAGGAAGCGTTCTAATTGTAGGGGGTGCTCTGATGGTCCTCCTGGCCCTCGAGTTTGGCGACGTCGTCTACTCCTGGTCTTCCGCAACAGTGATCTGCCTATTAATTTTCGGCGCAGCAGTGATGGCGCTGTTTGTGGTCAATGAGTGGAAGATTGCCAAGAATCCTATTATCCCTCTTTGGCTATTTGCCTCGCCGAGCAAGGTAGCGCCGTACGTTGTCTTCGCGTGCAACTCATACGTCTTCATCGGGCAGGCATATTACCTACCTCTATACGCGCAGTCTGCCCTGGCCGCGACAGCCTTGATGTCAGGACTGTACCTCCTTCCGCTAATCGTCTCATGTGCCCTGGCCGCGGCCGCAGCGGGGATTTTCATGCAGCGAACTGGGAAATATATGCCCGTGATGTATATTGCGCAGGGCTTTCTGGTCCTTGGCTCGGGACTGCTAGTCAGCCTCAAATTTGAATCAAACATAACCAAACTAATCATCTTCCAGATTCTGGTCGGGATCGGCGTGGGCATGAACATCGAAGCCCCTATCCTGGCGGCTCAAGCTGCTGCAAGTGTTCGTGATACGGCTGCCGTGACTGCGACAATGGGGTTTGTCCGGTCCCTTTCCACCGCTATCTCAGTTGTCGTCGGTGGCGTGGTCTTTCAGAATGAGATGAATGCGAAGAACGGGGAGTTGGCAAGCCGGCTCGGTTCGGATTCGTCTCTAGCCAACATATTCAATGGTGACAATGCTGCTTCGAGTGTGGAAAAGATTAGCACTGTTGGACTGAATGCAGATCAACAAGTCTTGGTTAGGAAGACGTACTTTGAGGCGTTGAGGATGGTGTGGGTCATGGTAGGTCTCCTCAAAATACAACACGTTACATTGCCGTCTGCTAATGGAATGTCCTGGTTGCTATTAGTATGTTGCCTTTGCTGGATTAGCCACCATTCTTAATCTGTTTGTGCCGGCCCGTAAGCTCCGGAGTGAAAATGAGGGCGCCGTGCTGGGCGTTGACCGGTCACGGCAAGAAGGCAGCCGTACTAATGGGGTCGAGGAAACGGAGTTGAATGATCAACATGGTTAACATGGGCTGTGCATGTTGACTCGAAAACGCTCCCTTTTGTTTATCTCTAGAAGACGCATCGAAGATGTGTATAGAATTCTACAGCCACACCCCAATGAAGGAAAGTAGGGCGTTTAGTGAGGCAGGTGGTCAAATACAAAAATAGATATGGGAATCACGTATATAACATAAGTAGAAGCAAAAATCCCTACACATCGACACCTACCTAGGTAGGTATGTATTAGTTTTGAGGCTGTAACAACTCCCTGAATATCCATGGGTCCTTCTGGTTGCCCCGCTCTGCGGCCCGGGCCGCACCGCAGTTCCATTTTTCCACAGATTGTCCTGTTGATTGATTTAGCTAGGTAGCTATACGTGCTTGATTTCCTCTGCCGGGTGGGCTTCATCTCAAAGACATAGACTGGTATTGAACCGGGTGCTATGATATAGATATCAATGCTTGTTGCTTTTTGGTGTATTACGGTCGAGCTTATATATGAATTGACAGCCATCCTACTTCAGTCTCTCTGATATAGATGTGGTTGAGGGCACTGGAGGAGCAAGTCCGCGGTTCTCTTGATCGGTGCAGGCTGTTATATATCGCGGACTTCGACCTCCATTGACCCACTGCACATGCACTATTTCCATTGGAGAAGTCAGGCTAGTTTGCCACTGTTGAATATGGGCCAAGAATGGTGTCTTGCAGAACAAATTGCTTGCAATGCGGGGTGCTACCTAGGTACCTAACGATCTGCCTGCTTTGTAGATTGTTAGATAAGCGCTTTACCTCGCCCGGGCGTCATATGACCCTTTTACCGTGCGGTTAGGGTAAGCAGGTCCGTGAGAAAGAGGTATTCGCAGTCGTAAACTATTGTAAACATTATTTTCATTTCATAGTCTACCGTCTCACAATACCGCTATCAAAAGATGATTTTCAGCGCGGGAGTATTCCTTCAAATCTGTACACTCAATGTCTATGTACAACCCTGTGGAGTATACCTCGCAATGCCGCGTCTAACCCATTTTTACCTTGCTTTTGTTTTGATTGAATACCCAAATATATAGGAAAGGATATACTGTCTCCGGAATAAGAGTGGTCACAATAATCGCGATGCTCCAAAACGATCCCACATACTCCCAGTTTCGAGGGATGTTGAGATACCGCCATATGAAAAGACCATAAGCCGTGAAGCAACCTAAATAACGCACGAGCCTGCAATAACAATTAATAAACCCTACTAACCACGGGGCCGGGAAAAGCAAGCTGCGTACCAAATCTCAAGGGAATGGCCCAGTAGAGAACGATGTTTCACCAGCCCATACACGTACACCCACCCAGCCGGAAGTTGCAGGAGGATACCAGTCCAATAAGCTGTAATTTGCTCGCGGTCGTCTGGGTATAGATATCCCAAGTACCTCAACCCTGCTAGAGCTGTTATACAGTATACAAGCATCTCTCCGGCAATGCGCTTTCCTTGATCGGGGCCATGGACACGCCAGAGAGCAAGCGCGACAAACGCGAGGTCTAGCTCAAACCAAACAAGAAAGCATATTCTCTCTAGCCGCGTTGATGTAGTCGCAAAGGCGTAGTATAATTCATACGCCAATGTCAAAGACCTAAAGCGGACAGTCAGCCACCCAGTGTAATATACCGTGAGAAGTTTGCCAGCGTACATGTACTTGATTGATCCGGGCAAAACCCCATCTTTTACAGCTCGCATCATAAGAAACACATATAAAAGGGCGTATAATACCCCGCATGAGATGATGAGACCATCCTGAACGAAAAGGTAGCCCTCGGGTGGGTCTAGACGCGCATCGGCGGGTTGTACCACCAGGTGGCGGATATACTCCGTTAACCAAAAGTCAGACATATCTTCAGCGATCGACAGAAAAGCGAAACTATTGATCCAACCGAGTTGAAACAGTTTTGAGTTGCCTGGGATAATAGACCTAAATAAGAGAGGCAGAGATCTTACAGATCTATGTGACATCATAATGACATCATGATAAGACTGGATACTAAAGAAAGCGAGCACAATCCAGGTCCATTTCTCCTATCTGTAACTCGGTGGACTCCATTTAAATGGCCCCCGGAGTCTTGGAAATTATCAAAGACCTCACGAACAGTATTGTAGGAAGACATCGTCGTCGTCGCTTGAACTGCGCCCTTGTTGGTCCAGAAGCACCTAGCTGCCGGGGTGTATATCTCTGACTCTGACTCTTGACTCATCATTTGCTGCGAGGTGGTTGCTGAAGAATCCGGCGGGAATGGGGCTTACAGCGAACCGTCCTGACGATGACGATGGCGGCGGTGACTTGTCGTCGTCGTTGGTGGTGGTGGTAAGTGACGAGGAGGCCCCCCTATATGCGAATCGTTAAGATGGCCTTGTTAGAACCCGGCAAAGCGCTCGGTGTCTAGAAGGGTGTTGCCTATATTGTAGTAGTAACTGTTCTAGTGATCTACGCCTACGATATTTTCGCGCTAATAACCCACAAATATAAATATACATCGGTTCTTAACTGTGTGGAAAGGCTGTTTAGTGGGTTTCAAGAAAAGCTGCAAATTAAGATTGTGTTGGAAGACCGGAAAGAGATTTTCAATATAAGCCCCTATGTATTCTGGAATAGAAGTCGAACTAACTACAATATAGTAGGTAAGGAACACATTAAGAGCAATAGAAGGAAAGATTAAGAATGTCGAGAATGCAGCCCACAGTTTCACCAAGAAGGATTTTCTCCGAATGATACCCTCTATATAGCGAGCGAATCATCGCCGGTTCATTCCTAAATTACTTAAGGCTATCATCATGCTAGCCATTCAATTGTTTCATTTTACCGGACAAGAATTGGAGCTTTTTGTACGGGCCTATAGGGATAAAATCGGGAAGGGCATAAGATACGATGTGGGAACATACATATATCTCAATGTTGCGATTGTGTATGGCTAATTCCTGAATCAAGCATATTGAATTATTTCCATCCTCTTTGGCACCTTGGAAGGTAGTATGGAAACTTAACCAAGTATGGTTAAAAGGTAATCGAAACCCGAACCAGATAGTGTAAGTTACTCTTAATAGCAAACTTGTCTGTGAAAACTCAATCTCTAACTTGGATCTAAGGTCGCGGTTGTCGTATACCTACTTTGTAGCTACACGCATCATAACTTTCTGGTAGTTCGTGAGCAGGGTTTAAAGAATAGGTTAATGAATTGATGGGATGAATGAAAGATAAGTTCAAGGAGAACAAAGTGAGAGAATGGAAAATAATGAAAACAAGGTAAGAGCACAAAGAAAGGAAATAATATATATGTCTACAATGAGCAATGCACATATAGAGAGCAATATCCATATGCTTGACGTCAAACAAATACAAAGATGTTCGAACCGACAGCTTGCTTAGTCAAATAGATCAAGCGACCACCATTGGCATCGTTGGTTGGCGGCCGGGTCATGAGAGATTGTGATATTGTCGCCGGTCAGATGCACAGTCTTAGCCTGGGAGCCGAACTTTGGAATCGAGCTTAGACCATCGACGGCGCTGTTCAAGGTGCCATGCTTGGCAAGGGAGAGAATGTAGTCCTGGATGACAAATGCAATGGTCTGGTTCACGGCGCCAGTGTCAACCAGATTATAGGACGAAGGCTTCTCGTTCGGAGTGTAAAAGGTATATCCAGTGTCCTGTGCGTGAATACCGGGCTGCACATCAAAGAAGTAGGCGGAACTGTTCTTGAATGCCGTATTCAGTACAGCCGCGTTGCAGTCGATGATCAAATCACTCGCCGTCAAGGCCGCTCTCTGGTAGTTGTTGGTGTATCCATGAGATCCGTCGAACACGGGAGGATAAAGTGTCTCAGTAATGTGATCGATGGTCGAACTCTTAGCACGAGTAAGGAGGTTTTTCACGAGCTTCTCGTATTCATCATCGGTATGCACCGCTGGCACTAACACCAGACCCTCATCCGAGGTGTGGGAGATCAAGATATTCACGGACTGGTCATATTCTCCACGGCGGAGTAGCGCCTTGGGGTCTGCCTTGACAAAGCTACCGTCTGGCGTAGGGCCGTAGACAGCTGAAGCGTACGGCTGCGTCACACCGACTGAGTTTGAATTCGCTAAAACGAGAACATCGGAAGGAAGCTGACGAGCTTCGTTAAGCGATGTGACATTTGCCAGGGCGAGGAAGTCCTTAAAAGACTTCTCCTGGTTCTCCGACGACCGGTAGGGGTAATAGGCGGGGGACTGCAGCACGGCCTGGTTGAAGAGGGCCGGTGTTTCTCCTCCATATGCGGTGATGTGGTGCATGATGGAACCGCTGCCTCCAGACTCACCAAAGACCGTGACTTGGTTCCTATCTCCTCCAAAGCGATAGATATTGTCCTGGATCCACTGGAGGGCAAGTCGCTGATCGTGAATTCCAGCATTGAGCAAGCCGTCTTCCGCTTCGAATGAGGGCCCAGATAGGAAGCCAAACGCACCCAGTCGGTAGTTGAGAGAGACGTATACCACACCTTCTGAGCCACCCGCCTGGCTGCGGTCAATTAAGCCCTTGGATGATCCAAAGGAGGTTTTGGACCCGGCAATGAAGCTTCCGCCTACGTTTGTTAGCATTTTGCGGCAATATAAGATTTTGGGGGCTTACCATGGATCCAAACCAGAACAGGTGACAGCTTTTTATCCGTTTTGGCGTTATCAAATATCTTGCGAGGCACCTGAACATCCAAAAACAGACAATCCTCCACTCCACCGGCGGAGATCGCGGTCAGGCCGCTGTAGGAGACATTGGGAACATTTCCGGTCTTCAGGTAGTCGTTTGTGTATTGCGAGGTGCGCATTTGCCAGCTCGGTGTTGCTTGGGCGCAGGTGATTGATTCCGCGTTAGATTGAATGGCCGATCGGTTGGTTAGAGGAGGGACAGGAGCCTTCCATCGAAGATCGCCAACCGGGGGAGCGGCATATCGGATATTGGAGAAGGTATAATAACTGTCGGAGTCCTTTATTGGTTATTAGCTTCTGCAGTAGGAATGCAAATTTTACACCGCAGGAAGGTGGGATCCTACATTGTTGGCTCCGGTAGCTTGGTAGATCTCATAGCCAAGATCAACCACAGGCTGTTGCTTCTTGTTGGTGCAGTAGTCGGCATTCACTACTGCCAATATGCAGCCCAGTTGTAAGAATTGTTTGAGAGCCACCATTGTTTAATGAGCGACTGTGATGATTTCACTGATATGGTTGTAGGACTAGAAAGAAGCAGTGGCTTCTAGCCAACATATTTATATTTTTGGCGCAGTGGAGAGCCTAGCAAAAACATATGCCGAAAACCTAGCTTTGGAACTCATGACGATTTTATTTGTTCCACAGCCCTGTAGTACTCCGTATGAAAAGGAGCAATATCATCTCGGTCTTGCCAAGGTAGGCCGAACACGGATACGCGTATAGAAGAGATCTGCGCAGCAACCGGGGCCCCCGATATCGAGTTTGGGGGAGCAACTAATTCACTTTGTCGATCTTGCGGTTCAATTGAATGCTGAGATAGGGTTGCTTTTAGCATTATTATATATTATATGCACCTACATATGTGATTTGCAGAGCAGGAAACTTATAGGTATGGGGTGAAGTACTCAGGACAGTGAGCAGCCTTGGAGGGCCCTTATAGAGCGGCCCCACCCCAACCAGACATGCTTATACGGATACGCGTATTGCTGTCATATTGCAACCTTGGAAGGTGCAAGGGCTAGAATGAAAGAGCCAACGGCTGCTATAGAAAGGAAGCAATTCTAAGTCCACTTAACTAGAAGAGAGAGGTTTGCATCCGCGGCCTATCCGGTACATACTACTACATATGCACACTAACACAACTGCAGTCGTTGAACTGGGGAATAATAAATGAAAGAAATGAGAATTGCTTAAATTCTATGCGATTACACATTGACAAAAAAAATAATCCAAGTCCGTAATCGCTAGCGTACTAATGCATTTCCAACAATAACACAGAACGAAGGATAGGTGATCTTTGCTCATATGGGTAGAAATATGTCTGCCTGTTTGATCCAGCTAGGGATCGCGGATAAAAGGAAACAGGGAATTGAATAAAAGGAAGAAATGCGAGGGCCTGGGCTTATTTTCGACTGCAAAGAAAGGGGGTATCGTATCAAGTATTCAAAGGCCCAACGTCGATATAATCATCGTCTCCGTCGTTGATGACAGTTGCGTTCATCAGCCCAGTCATCTGGCCTTCATCTTCGTCCAGTTCTTCGTCGTCATCATACATCGTGGCTTCGGCTTCTTCTTGGAATTGCGGTTCATGTCGGTTCAAGTGATCCCGCAGTCGATTGACACCATCACCGCTGAACACACAGAAGACATCCCGTTGTTGTTGCGTAAACTCCGGGGGGAGCTTCTCGGCAGAATGCAGTGAGGTTTTCTCGCAGGAACTCTTGGACGCCGGTCAAACTCAAATGGGTCAGGCGCGGACAGCTGTTCAGCAAAGCATGAATCCCCTAAGCCGTAATGTCAGTACTGATATCTGTACATCAGAACCTTCGAAACTCACCTTCATCCTCAACTGAACACAATAGCTCAGGTGAACACGCTCAAGACTGCTGACGGAAGGATGGTGGCCTATCTTGGGCCGTGCCAACGCTAATATACTCTGATCGGTGATAGCCTGACATTTGACTAGCCCGATTCTTCGGAGCTTCGGCAAGGTTGCCAATTGCTGTACACTACGGTCCGTTAGGAGGTTACAGCAGGCCAAGTCGATGTATCGAATGCGGTTGCAGGACTTGACCAGGCTGATCACGGCCGAGTCTGTAATGTTCGAACAATGGCCCAGGTGCACATAGTGAAGGTTCTTTCCTAGCCTGCAAATGGCCATCACTGATCGATCTGTGATAAAGCGGCATTTGGCCAGTACTAGATTCCGTAAACGAGGAGCTGCACGCACGATTCGCTCCACTGAGTCATCTCTGACGTTCTCGCATGCGGTGAGATCCAGGATGCGGAGGCTGTCAAAGGTCACTTGAGGAGGTAGAGACAGGAACGCACTGTCATCAAGTTCAGTACAGTGCGCAAGCCGCAGTTCTCGGAGATGCCGCAGTGTGGTGAGCAACGGAGTCACTGATGCGCTAGTGACGAGTTTGCAATCATGCAAGTCGATCTCCAGTATAGACGGGCAGTTCTCGGCAAAGGACTGAATGGCCCGATCTGATACATTGAAAACTCCGTTGAGTTTCAACTATTATACAATTAGCGCTCGGGGTCCACCTAAAATCCCCGCATATAATCCACATACCCTTTTTATTTGGCGACACTTTTGCGATACAATAAGCAAAGCGTCGTCGGTGACTTTTGAACATCCCGTGATGTTCAGACCTTGCAGACGGGGACAGTCCCTGGACACCGTGGCAAGCGTGTGGTCTGTAAGGTGTCGCAAGTCTGAAACATCCAGCGCCTGCAGATGCCGGTTCCCCTCCACCAAGTCCGACACGCCCTTATCCGTCAAGTTCTTGCAGCTTGTCAATGTCAGCCGCTCAATCCGCTTGCACTGGTTGAAAGAGAGGATAGTTCCATCGCTGACATCATCTGACAGGGCGGATAAATTCAGTCTCTTGATAAGGTCTGCGTAGTTGAACAGACTGTCCGGCTTTCCCAACGATGTAGTCACGCTTCTCACATTGGCCCAGGTATTGCAAGTCGGCCGATGCCACAGTATCCCTACCGAGTTCGCAGCCCATCCACGACACACCAGCATGGAATTGAGCATGTCTAAGGGCGCAACCAATTTCGAGAAGATCGCGATCAGGATCTCGGGTGGGAGGCGGCCGATCGGCGGCAGTGGCTCGGATGGTTCACTTGACAGGCGGGAATCGCGGAAATTGGCCACGCCGATGGAGGATTGCGAGTCGTTGGCCTGGGCCATGAAGAAATCGGTATCATCATCGGCGGCACGTTCGGGTGACGTCGATCCAGAGGTTTCGGAAGGGGCTGCACTTGGACACCGACCGGCTTCTCGTAACCGATGCATCCTCGTCGGGGTAGATTCGCTTTTTGAAGTTCGCTTCAATATATTTTTCGGGTGTCGGTAAGGTTGAAATCTCATAACTTCAGGGAACGTTGCATGGGCGGTGCATGTGAGACTGGAACAGGCAAGTCCGGTCCACAGATGTAGCCAGTCTTTGAGCAGTCAACAGTCCTAAGACCTTTTTTTCGTCTGAAGACTGGTAGATGAATGTAATTTTCGGGAAATATCTGCAGTAAGGTGGGTGCACGAGGGATGTAAGCGTGGTTTCGCGGCGCGTATTTGGATGGCAAGGGAGAGGTAGACAAGGGCAGATCGTTCAGAATGAAGTCGATCTAATCTAGATCATGGCCCCAAGCACCCCTTGGGTCAGATGCAAATGCGTAACCAGGAAAATCAATGCAAGTAAATGTGAAGGGATAAAAGCGGTAATGGAGGGGGGATGAGGCAATGGGGCCGGGTTTCACAGTGCTGCGGAGTCAGTGCCAAGCACGGCTTATCGTGTGATAAGATGGGAGATGGGTCTGTAGATTGTATAGCCCTTTTGCTTATGAAACTTGGATGTGAACCCTTTCTATAAAAGAAAATGAGGATGGAGTGGCCTCTTAAACCACGTAGTGAAGACTAGAAGTATTCAAGGTCGCTTGATGTGGCCGCGTGCTTGATCTACAATCGATCTACTCGATGCGGGAACACCGGACATTGACCTCATTGGAATGTAGGGAAGCCCTGCTTTCTTCCAGAATATCTCCATGTATTCAAGATCTAAACATCTATTTAGAAATATATCCATCTCAGTGGTTGTCTTTGTCTAAGCTTCTCTCGGACCTTTCACCCAGTCACGTAGGATGTTCTTCCGGATTTTGCCAGTGCTGGTCTTAGGTAGTTCAGTAACCACTTCCACTTCTCGTGGAATCATAAACTTGCTGATTCCACTAGTATTTCGAGCCCAGTCAATCAAGTCTGAGCCTTGTAGGCTCTTGCCTTCCTTCACTGTAACGAAGGCTTTGGGTCGTTCGCCCCAGTGGGAGTCAGGAACAGCAACAACACCAGCCTCCAAAATATCAGGATGCGTGACTAGCATAGACTCCAGTGCAACGGAGGAGATATTTTCGCCGCCTAATCATTGTTAGCAATTTGGTCTCTTGACGGTTGAGCCGCTCGCCACACATACCACTGATGATGATATCCTTTGCACGATCAAGAATCTGAATTGCACCATCGGGATGCCAGACAGCCAAGTCTCCAGAGTGCAAAACACCTCCTGCAAATAATTTCCGAGTTGCCTCGGGGTCCTTGTAGTATCCCCGGGCACAGATATTTCCAACAAAAACAATCTCGCCAATCTCCTGGCCATCCTTGCGAACATCTGTGATGGTCCCTTCAGGTACTTCGGTCTTAATGACCCGAGCTGGGAGACTTGTAATAAAGCCATGGCCTTGGCGAGCCATTCTCTGGTATTTGTCCTTAAGAGGGAGCACGTCCCATTCTGGCAAATGGTAGCCCTTGGTGATTGGGCCGTATGTCTCCGTCATTCCATAAACATGTACAGGGTGCAAGTTTAGGTCGGTCATCTGTTCGAAGAGAAGTGGTGTGGGCGGGCTTGCTGCCACCGTGACGCGGACAGGCTCGGACAGCCTCTCTGCTTCTTTCGCGTTGCAGAGCAAGGTGTTCACAGTCGGTGCAGCATTGAAGTGGGTGATATGCTCCTCTTTCAGCAGCCTCCAGATTTCGGGGTAGTCTATCTTGCGTAGGCAATAATGGGTTCCGCGAACGGCTGTCACTGCCCATGGAAATGTCCAGCCTATATGTATAAATACATATGTTAGTTATGCAGATTGATTTCACAATCACTCAAGCGAAGAAGATGCACGAACCCATAGCGTGGAACATGGGTAGCGTCCATAGATAACGGGCACGTCCGCGGTGGTAGTTCAGACCAGTTTCAATGACGTTTCCCAGTGTTGCCAGATAGCAGCCCCGATGACTGAACTCTACACCCTTAGGACGGGCTGTGGTCCCACTGGTGTATGCCAATGCAATTGTGGATTCTTCATCGGCAGCTTGGCTTTCGAGTCCTTCCCAGCCCCGAGAACCTGTATCGATATCGTGTCTGAGACCTTCCAAAACTGCCTCGTCAAAGGGGCCCGTCAGCTCACCCTCCGTCGCATCAGTGTCGGTGTCTACTATAATAGGAATGCGGGGGTGTTGGGACCGATAGTGCTCCAGAAGTGGAACATATTCCTCGTCGACGATGATCGCTTCCGCATCACCATGGTCAAATATATAAGCAATGTCTTCTTGTTTCAGACGATAATTGACAGCTGCAAATATGTTAGCTCAATTGATATCGCTCTTCAAAAGACGCCAGGTTACCGATATTAACAGCGCCAGCCGCGGCGATTCCGAAAATTGACTCGAGGAAGGCTGGGGTATTCGGGCAGAGTATCCCCACTCTGCTGAGCCCATGTTTTTTGAGGTAGTAAGCAATACCCCTCGCTCGGTCTGCAGTCTCACCATAGCTCCTGCGAAGGATCTTGTTGTTGGCGGTTACATGGTAGATCGCCTCAGCCTGTGTAATTCTTCGTTAGACCATTGAAGCACTACCTAAGTACCACTCGCAGAGAGCTTACATTGGGCTCAACGGCAGCAGCACGCGGAAGAAAGAAAGTTGGGGATAGCGTATGAGTATTAACACGGTGTTCAACCGGCGGCGTTGAACCTGTGAAATGGCCAAGCAGGCCAGACAACCGAGACTTTGAACCAGACATACTACAACCGGATTGTAGGTTGCAATAAAGTGTATGTCAATGTCGAGGAATGAAGAGGTGGTAGAAATTATGCAGGGTAAAAGATTATTATAGAGATGAAATAGATGAATTACTCCAAGTTGGAGAAAATGCGGGGATATTGGTACCAAAGCGGTTAACCTAGGCTATGCCAATCACAAGCGGGGGATTTTCGGGTATGAGTTCTGGGGTATCCGGACTAAGGGATTGAATGTGGACTCAATTTTCGGGAATTCCTTGATCTACTATGCTCGCTTCAATGCATTCAAATGTTGTCATGGACTGGTCTATTGTGGTTGGTGCAAGTCAGTTATACCTCCACACTTGAATATGTATTTCATAATACAATCTTGCAAATGTAATTTACACGTAACTGCCATACACATACAACTTGTCCAGATGTCACCACATGTGCAGTAGGGGCGTCCTTCGAGCTCACACAAGCTCAGTTCTAACGGCATGGCAAGGCTTCCTAGTACAGAACTTCGGTTCTTTCCCTTCATTCTTGTCCTGCAAATTACTATACAGAAGATTGTACTTATATTCTACAGGGAGAGAAGAAGTCTTGTAGACAAAGATGCTTTTTTTTCTATTTCCATTTTACTATCTATAGCTACCGTGACATATGTAGTCCAAGTTGATAGCTCATTTATTCTCATTTGTCATGAGGTGGACCCGCTCTTGTTAACTTCCTGAAACGGGAAAGCCGTATTCTGCAAATTTGAAACATCGAGATTCATATCGAGTTTGCTTTCCTTTTACCCACAAATTGAAGTCCTCGTTTCAGCACTTGCATCATTTACCAAGTCTTTCACTATATCGAATTTCAACAGACACTCTAAAAAAACCCAAATCCCCGAGATTTTCTTCGTTATGCTCATCCATCTCTTGCAATCCCTTCGAATTTCCCAGAATGGTCCTCTTGTTATTCGTGGTGCTATAGTTCTCATACTCCCGCTATGTATCCTCTTGGCTGTTGTTGTACAGTCCGGGAATATCCATACAACGCGCAGGAGGTTAAGGCACCTACAAAAGCTCGGCTTAACTACCAGCAACATGGCAGACCAGTATAATCCTAAATTCGGCCTGCCACCGGGGACTGCGATTGATGGAGCACCACGCATCAAAGCAATATATCTTCATCCTATCAAGTCGTGCGGGCCTGTCGAGGTAGATCGGGCCTTGCTCACCAAGTCTGGTTTTATGTATGATAGATGCTTCGCATTTGCGACGAAATCTGTCAAGGGCGACGATACCGCGGCCTCAAAATGGCGATTTATCAGCCAGCGCAAGAATCCAGTCATGTCTCGGATCAAAACAGAGTTATGGCTTCCGCACAACTACAGCAATTTACATGACCCGCTCGTGCAGGCAGGTGGATGTGTGGTCATGACATTCGAAGACCCAGACCTACCGAGTTGGACCAGTCGGGTTGAGACATTTTTCCATACAAGAAATCTCTCCGCACCATCACAGCTATCCTTTATTGTCCCTCTCGATGTTACCGCCGCTCAGGCAAAGTTGAAAACATTCGGCATCCACAGTCGTGATGCAAGGGGCCTCGACATTGGCGGGATACCATCCGTTGCAACAGCTTTGCCCAAGCTAAAGAAGTTCTTGGGAATACCGGCAGACCAAATCCTCACGCTTTTCAAATGTACTCCGGATACCTTGACCCGTACGGATAAGAACCTTGCGCCACTTGAACACATTGGTTCGCCGGCCCTGCATGGCTACACGGATCAACAGCCTGTCAACATCAACAGTTTGTCCTCGGTCCATGCTGTGTCCGCGCTCCTTCCCACTGAAAACCAGCCTCTGAATGCACTTCGTTTCCGTGCGAACATATGGATTATAAATGCTCCAGCATATGAAGAAGAAACATGGAAACGCTACCGCATCCTGCCAAAGAGTAACGGTACGCAGCCACGAGCTAGTGTTGCGCCTGCACTCTCTGTTGTTTGTCGCACATCTCGATGCACAATGCCTAACGTCAACCCGGAGACTGGAAGCTTTGACGCGGATACCCCTCCTCCTGGTAGAAAAAGAGGCAAAGCACAGCCAAGCACAACCTTGGTGCAGTACCGAACGGTCGAGACGGGAAACAAAGCGGCACTCGGCTATCTAGGCATGCATTGTGTTCCTGAGGATGGGAGCTTGAAGAGCGCTGAAGAGCAGGGAGCAGGGTTATATATAGAAGTTGGGGACGAAATTGAGGTACTTGAACGAGGGACACATCTCTATGGGTCGACGGGCGACGACTATTAGAGTATGTGGATTGTGCCCTTGTGAGACGATCGTCGGGTAACGTCGGTATAGCAGTTTCATGTAAAATACATGAATGTCTCATCGTATTATAGAATACATACACTGTTCTAAGTAGCGGTCTGTGGGGGTCATACCGAGTCGTAACAGTGTGGAGGTATAACTGAACATTTGAATTCAAACCTACTGTAGTACGGAGCAAGAAATACCTTGAGATTCGAGTGGATCGGGTTAAATCATGTTATCACGGCTTATAATATAAGTGATATGTAACAGATCTACTCAGGGCAGTGCGGGGATAGATGTAGGCAAGATATGTGCATGCTAATAGTTTGAATAGCCGTACATTACAGGCTACCAAGTAAAAAGAGGTATAGGTCAAAGTATTTTTTGATCATAAGAATCATGTTGAACTCTTGAAAATTGTTTCTTTGGATTAAACCGCCACGGCGCGAGTCAACGGCCAGCTATTTTGAACCTTTAATCCCAATCGACTCCGTTTTTTTCGACTTTTGAAAATTCCGAAGACCCCAGTCCCCGAGTCGTCATGTGCGTCACAGACAGTGGTATTCATGAGCTAGGGAACTGGGCCGCAGAAAAAGGTCGGTCGGCTTGCCGTTCAAATTCGCTGAAAGAAAACCGTCCGCGATTCCATCCCAGAACCATCGCTCGACACAACAACCAGCCGCGCTAAAGGTATCTAGTAGCCATACTGAGCAAGCTGGGTCTTGGTCTTGCTGTCCACGTTCGCTCCCTGCTCGGCCTTGGCAAGGACACGGCGAGCGGCCTTCTTGCGCTCGTAGTAAGCCTTGCTCTTGACCTTTCTGCGCTCCTCGAGACTGTAAAAATGTTAGGATTTGTCGATTGACCCAACCACACAGGTCATAAATCAGAGGTAGTACGTACCGAGAAACAACATCCTGGTACTTCCAGCCAACCTCGTGGCTGAGACGGCCAACGGTGCAGTACTTGCGGCCGGGGCGGAGACGCAGGACACGGAGAGCCTGGGGAACAACGACACGCTTCTTCTTGTCGTAGGGAGGGGGACACCCTCGAAGACCTTAAGGCGCTCCATGGCGGCGGCACCACGGGCGGTCTTGTGGGGAATCATACCGCGGATGGCCTTGTAGAGGATGCGGGAAGGAGCGCGGAAGTGGAAGGGACCACCACGGGTAGGGTTGAAACGAGTCATCTTGCGAAGGTAGGCGTGGTACTTGACTGTACGGCGGAATTTGAGTCAGCTTTCTGATACCCAAGTTGTAGTGCATTTCCTCCAAAGTTGGCCAGACTGCCATGAAAGAACCGCCAGTCGTTTCGATTCGCGGGTGTTGTCGATCCTTTTTTTTTCCCTCCACACTGATTCACACAATCCCCAATATCACACAGAACGCAAAGGAAATATTCGAGATAAGGGGTTGAACGTACGCTTCGCGCGGAAGAACTCGCCGGAGATGTTGAGGGCCTCACATCTCACAACGACGATCTTCTGACCGTTGAGCAGCTGCTTGGCGACAGTGCTGGCCAGACGACCGAGGAGGTGTCCTTTGCCGTCGATGACGACCTATTTCCAACAATTCAAGTCAGCCACAGATTCGATATGCACACTTTGGAGGCGAGAGTGGCGGCACTCAAGTCGTTGGGTATAAACGCACCACTGATTCGAAGGAGGACATCCTGGTGATCTAATGTCCCGTGGGATGGATGTTGTCGGCGGTTGTTGTCGTGGGTGTCAAGTCGACGCACACAACGAAGTCGGATGGCTCGATGAGAATGGGCTAAGCGAGGGTCCGCTCACTTTGTGTTAATGGCGAGGGTCGCAGCCCTAAGCCTGACCAATCATGGATCACGTAGGTCACGTGGTCTGTATCTCTCAGATCCGCTCAGTGATGTATTACATAATACTTTTATTTCTCATTGTGCGCCATGGTGGTTCTCTTTCCTTTGTGCCGTTAGGGCATTGGCTTAGGGCTGATGTACTCTCCAGGTTCTAGAAGAGAATTCTAAGATCGACTGATTACCTTGAAGTTGGAAGGAACGGGGGTGTTGAAGCCTTTGGTATAATTCCAATGTTCGCTGCAGACTCTTTACATTAACCAACATATATAAATATAGATCCCTTTTCAATTCCATGCATACCTGCCTCTTGTTGTAAAGAAGTCTTCTTATCGTCGTCTTTGATTGTCAGATCTATGATCTAGCCAACTTCAGGTGGAAACATTGGGTCCGATGACTAATATATCCATGAACCCATCCACGGACAGACCTGGGCCCCGAGGCCATTGTTTTTCTTTTCCCCAAAGGAACTTCCTTCTTGCAGAAATAACCAAGGCCAACGAGACTTCGCACTGGGCCTGACGTTCCACTCGTCCTATTCGCCTGCCATTCCACCGTACACCAATCAACCCAACTTGAGACAAGGGTTCTCTCTTTACTCGGGTCATGCGACAAAAGACGCGTTTTGTCTGCGTCTCTGATACACACGGATATACGCCCTCCGAAGCGGGCTTCAAACTACCAGCAGGAGATGTCCTGATCCACGCCGGCGACTTGACAAACAATGGAAGCCTAAAAGAGCTCCGTAGGACAATGGATTGGATCTGCAAGGCCGACTTTGAAATCAAAATCATAGTTGGTGGTTAGTCCTTCAACTTGTTGTTCATGCGCCCGATTCACATTTGAGTTATCCTGGGCATTAACAGGAGTGATACCTCACTGCTCGTCAAAATGCACCATTTCATTAGTGGGAAAAGGCCGACACAAAGCCCCTAACTTTTTAACAGGCAATCACGATGTCACCTTGGACCAAGCATTCTACAGAGAGCATGGAGCAAGGTTTCACGGCCAGCACCTCGAAGATTCATACCACTGCCTAAATCTTATCACGGAGTCGCCTTCGGTCGTTCTGCTTCGCCATGAGCCCGCCCTGATTCGCCTGACGCGAGCGGACGGACCAAACACAGTATTTAAAATCTTTGGGTCCCCGTACTCTCAATCCCCAGGAAATTGGGCATTCGGATACGAATCAAATGATGCTGCTGCCCTGTGGGCTCAGATACCAATCGACACGGACATCGTCGTCACGCATACGCCACCACAATCTCACTGCGACCAGAAACCGAATGGAATGTTCGTTGGGTGCGTTGCGCTTCGCAGCGCATTGAGCCTCATCAGGCCGCACTTAGCTGTTTGTGGCCATGTGCATGAAGGACGGGGGTACGAACGAGTTCGCTGGCGAGGCAAGCTTATCAACACAGAGATAGAAACAGAAACAGGGCCAGAATCTGATTCAGTTGACCATGTCACTCGGGGCGTTCTGCCACCCATGGGCAGCAAGAAACAGAGCCTGGTCGATTTGACTGGCAAACGGGATAAACGACTAGACAACGAGGGATTTTCACATCCTGGGCCAAGGCAGCATGATCTGACAGAGACTCAACCAATCTCATCAGCCTCACCAGCGTCGGAGTCATCTGCTGGGGTTCCTGAAAAGGCAAGTCAACGAAACTCGCCAAGCACTCATCCGTCCCTGGGGGCGGGTAGCCCTGGCCCCAATAGCCGTGGTTTTGATTATGCCTTGCAAACACTAAGAAAGGAGACCTGCATTGTCAACGCCGCTATCATGTCCACTAGCTGGCCGCACCAGGGTGGCAAACGGTTCAATTCGCCGATTGTGGTCGATCTTGAACTTCCCGTGTGGCAGGACCACGCGGTCGCGAACGGGAATGTGTTTCCCCATGGATTTAAGTAGCTTGTGGATATTGCATTCTATTCGGCCCCCATCGATCGTAGCGGCAAGCCTTACTTTGCTTCAGCCGTACATGGTGGCTTGATGCCAGATTTTACCTTCTCCCTGGGACATACAGTGACCTTGTGGGCTTTGGCCCTCTTGACACCGGTGGTTGGATGCCCCGATGCTTTATGATTTTCTAACATTGGTCGGCTAGTGACTTGATGCACGATCCTAGTGTTGTCAGACTGTCTACTCCGTGCTCTTACATCATTCTTGACCTGTACGCCGCATTGGCCCCGGAGTGAATGCAACTCGAGCATAATCTCCATACTATATACTGCATGGATACCTGTAACAGATTCTAATATTCACCAGATTAACAGTAAGAAGATAATAAGAAATTACCACAATTTACTCCCCTCCTCTCAAACAGCACAAACACCGGACTACCCCTCTTGTCTCATGTCCGGAGTATACCCCGCATGTAATGTACAAACCCATCTGACCGATCGCGATCACATCAAGCCACACGCGCCTGTGATATCACGACTCGATTTCTTGATTCTCATCACCGTAAGTTCCCAGTAAGATGTACACAAGTCATCTGCAACGGGGATCTCCCCAAACTCAAAACTTCCAGAAAGTGCAGCGCTTCCAAACGACCTACCAGTGGCCGAATTCTCGGCCGTAAAGAGCACAAACCCCTGAACCAACCAATAAATGGCTCATCCCGCCATCTCCTCCATACCCGATGTGGCCATGCATGGCTGATCATGTATTAATCATGGGAGGTTGGGAGCTCGCGTTTGTGATCGGTTCTTCAGCAGGGTTCTGGGACTGGAACACATTTGCTCACACCACCCTCGTGGGAAGCACATGCTTCTCGCAAGGATTGCTGCTTAGTCCGGCGCACTCCTTTCTAGAAGGCGTTTAGTGGCCGACCGGAGAGGTCTGGCCACCTTACTCTGTACTCTGTACAACGTAAGTACTATGTACACCGTAATAGCAGAGAGTGTTATTGCATGAGGGTAATACTCGACATCATTATTGCAGGCAACCTGCATTGCATTGCATTCCTGTTTCCCGGGTAGCAAACCGACAACTGCTTTGAGCCAGCCATGGCCAATATATTGCATGTCAGTATGCAGTCTCCAGATATCGCTAGCTGTAACTTGTTTCACATGGCTACCTAGCCTACTCCGGATTTTCGGTGTTACTATCATACTAACTATACAGACACACCTTTTATCCTCTAGGCTGCCAACGTCCAATCATGAATTCACCCGACCCCAGTCCTAGCGGGGTTGCGTGACTGTCAGGGAAGAGGGGTAGCTGTAGATCACGATTTAAGCGTATAAGGTTACAACCCTGCGTTTCAGAGGGAGGCATTGTGTGACCTGACGAGCACAACTGATGGGATCGGAGGATGATGGATTCGGCTGGTGCAGTCGGGTTGGAAAGAGTGCGAGTGGTCTAGTGCTATTATCGCCTGGGAAATGAACCAACCAACCCCAGACCGAGGAAAGGTATACTACAATCACTATCACACAGGAAACTGTCAAGTGACAGAGTTAGGGAGATGAAAGAGTAATGGCTATAGAGGTACGATAATTGAGGCGGATAATTGAATGGACTGTACGGAGTAGGCCATTCTTGAGGTAAGACATAGGACATCTTAACACAAAATAGCAAGATAACTGGCAGTCTTAGCAAAATCGAGACTATCTAGGCAATAGCAGAGTAGTAAGATAATAATGTGGTAATGCTGACAAGGCGTTAACTCGCTCGGCATTTGCACTTTTTCCAATAGACTCGTCATGATCGGGGCTGGCACACGCAGCTCCATTCAGCATCGGTCTGGATAATTACTGCGCCGCGTGGACCGCAGTACTGGGTCCAGATGACTTGGAACCAATGGATAGGCCGGACTATCCGAGACAGAAGGAGTACAGGAGCACAACGTCGTTTCATCAAGAGAGTCTACAAAGTACAGATTAATGGTTGGAAGATGATAGTCTCGGGTGGGGGTGTTTAGCAAAGACACGTATAATGGGGCCGGTGTGGGACAAATGCCAGCAGTGCGAGCTGTTTTAGCTTAGGAAGTTATTGGGTGTGAATCAATGCCTGAACAGTGTACTTCGTGTTCCGAGAGACTTTCGGCAATAATATTAGAGAGCTGCATTCCCATAGAATTGATGAGAATGAAATATTGAGTGGTAATCTGATAACTATATATAGAAACCGTGCACATTCCCAAGGTTCTTCAGAGGAGATTTTAAGGCCCACGGAACCTTTCGGGAAGGCGGGGGACCTTACCATGGGACAAGTCAGGCACTCCAGGGCTGGTTTTCTTTACTTTGTGAAATGTACTCCGCGTACGGAGTACAGATACAACGTATACTAAACACCCAATTAAATGTTCCAGGTTAAACAAGCCAGTAGGATATGACTGGCTGGGGGAGTGTGGCTTGGACAAGGCGACAAAATTAATAATAATTAAAATAAAAACAATAAAAATAATAAATAAAGCGAATAAAGCGAAATTAGTGAGGCGTCTGAACCTAAAATGGCCAAAAGCCCGCAGCCACTCGAGGAAAGTTGGGGGGTATGCAGGAGAAACTGAATCGAGAAGAAGAAGGAAAGATTAGCGTCATGACGATTTCAAGAGAGGGGGCAAACCCGATCCCTTTGGACCTCGTGTTATTGATCGCCCCACTGGAGCCACTGGAGGCCAAATATTCAGGCGAGGCTTGATTGGCAGGAATTTCAACAAATCGGACGAAGTGCTCAGGCCAATAAGACCGGCGAAAGTGAGAAGAGAATGATTTTAATGATTTTAATGATTATGGAGTACTAGAAAGGATATACGGAGCAGGGATGGATGATGGATATTAGATTGGGCATCTTTGTCTTTGATATCTATACTCTTTCTATGTCTATGTGAACTCTCTGTCTTATTATTACAATAAATTCCACATCTTCTTTGTGGCGCAGTCATTTGCCCCTGACATTACTATTCGGTTGGCTCGGACTGAGAATCGACACTCTGACAGCTGATTCATTGTCCCATCGTCTTTTTGGCCCTTTTTTTTCTTCTCTTTGGTTGGATTCTGATGGCAAGGCAATATTGTTGACAATTCCCTTTATTTCTTCCTGCATTGCAAATCATCTCCAGTTCATTCTGGATCGGTGTGGAATCTTTGCTACGTCAACAGGTTGTTGACATTCCATATCTCCACCGCCTCTTTCCCCTCTCACTTTTATCTTCTTTTCATCCCCATTCAACCTAGGGCATTGAAAACAAACATTGTCTAAAATGTCCTCACCACCAGATATAGACCCATACGCAGTACTTGGTGTCGCCAAGGAGGCCACTATCCCTGAAATCAGGGCCGCCCACCGAAAGCGGGTTCTCAAGTGCCATCCGGACAAGATCCAAGATGAGTCGCAGCGGATTGCTGCCCAAGATGAATTCCAGAAAGTCCAACAAGCCTATGAACTTCTCTCAGATGATGTCCGACGGACTAAACATGACCAAAAAGTCAAGATAGCCGAATTGAAGCGTGAACTACTGGAACGCAGACGAACAGAGTCGGCGTACAACGCTTCACGAGGGAACGGATCCGCCAATCGCGAATTCCGCAATGGCCACATCGTGGAGGAGAGAGTCCCGATGGAAGTCTTCTTTGAGGAATCAATGCGATTCACGGACGAACCACGCACTATGTCTCGCAAATTCGAAGAGTTTGGCGTGCGCTCAAAGTCAAAACCAACAGAGGAGAAGAAGAAGGCTCGAGCACCGACGAGTACATATCACCAAGCGAAGGAACAGCGGGACACGGCCAAGGCGACACATTCCGACCGCGCGAAGACCCGCGATCAGGAGCGACGACGACAGCGACAGGCCGAGGCCAAGTACGACAGTACTTTCGATATCTGTGCAGAATCCGACGATGCATCTGATTCCAGTGCTCCCCGCTACGTTTACAAACGAACTTCAACCCCCCGCCGAGAGCGTGAGCGTGATTCACGATCCCGACCATCAGAATCCTCTCGTCGCCGTGAACGCCGTTACGACGAAGATGACGATGTCTCCGATCACTGGCAATCCAAGATCGAGAGTCAGTACTTCAATGCAGAGGATTATATCGCATCCAAAGCCCGGAAGTCCAAGTCCCCACGACAGTACCATGGTCACGACTTGGCGGAACCAGAGTCGTCCACTTTGCGATCCGCGGGACGGTCCACCCGCACCCGTCGTCGTTCTTCGTCGCGCGACAGATCCTACGAGCACCTAGAGTCGCCCCGAGCCTACGAGGTCAAGCCACCCAAGATGCAACCCTCCGCAACCTCCCCGGGTATCAAGGTGCCTCTCCGCCCTTCGTTCCTCAACACCCGTGCCGCAACCAGCTCTAGCTTCCGCCAAAAGCGGGAGAGCCGCGACTCAACACTCTACGAAATGGCTCACGAGCCACTGCCATCGCGAACTTCCAAAGCGCGCGATCGCAACGATTCGGGCTACTCCAGTCCCGGTACCCCTGAAATGCCCCCGAGGGGCACCTCTCCCAAGACCGCAACCCGCTACAAGGTCGTCCAGGAGCCAGACCACGTCGTCGTAGAACCGAAGTCGTCAAAGTACCGCTCGGCGAGGTCCCCCGACCGGGATCGCATATCCTCTACACGGCCGGTACCCAAGCGAAGCAGTACCTTCCAAGCCTACACCGAAGGCGCGCCTAGGGTTGAGACTCGGTCTGCGCGCCCTTCTTCTCGACCCCATCCGGTCGAATACATCACTACTGCTCCGAAAGAGAACATCAAATACAGCCGGACATACAAGCCAGAAGATGTCACTTACTCGCCGAGGCGCGCCTATTACTACGATGAAGAATATCGTCCTCCTGCTGTGGGAAGACGCCAGTCTGCCTATTAATTCAACCACACCCATGAAACATGATCACGACAAATCACGCCTACAGTTTTTTAAACATTATCTACTTTTTTCAATCTTATCAAGGAGTCGGGGCGTTTCCAATTCTCCGCTTTTCGCACATACGTCGTTCCACCAAATGTTGGAATTCTTTGGGGGGGAGGACTTCGATTCCCATTTGTGTCACCTGGTCTGCTTATCCCTGCACAGTCAGGACGAGAGGCCTGCCCAGGTGGACGGGTGTATCTTTGTCATGGCGCATTAGGGCGGGTATGGGCGAGGATGGTGTGTTGCATCTGTGCCTCAAATCCTGCACTTGTGGCGTATGAAATTGTCTTTGTCTACTGATGAGTACATTCTTTTTTTCTCCCGTTCTTCTGTTGTTTCACTTTTCAATCTTTATACGTTGTTGCTCCCGGGCTCTTCCTAGATACCCCGTGGACTACCTTATTGGAGAAATCCAATAAACGAATTACGCTTTTTCATACGATATGATATGCCATAACCTTGAACCTTTATTGGTTCTTTTCTTTATTGGTTTCTTATTTTTCTTTTGCTTCCAACTTGTAAGACGGAGATGTTGGGTTGGGTTGGGCTGGAAATTGGGCCACTTGAAGTGGCGGAGAAAGCCTCATAACTTTGTGTATGGTAGTTGCATTTTCTAAGAATAGACTGTTGTACTTACGAATTTGTTCAGTTCAACGTTGGAATTGTTTAGAAGACTGCAAATACTGACCTGTTATATAGTCATGTTCGAAATCAGTTTTAACTCCCTACTCTGATAGTAAAATACCACTGCTCAGCCCGACACATCGCTATAGTGCTGTAATTCCTCATAGAAGTGGAATCTTTCATGCAACCAAAGAGAAAACCTGAATAGTTTGGCAAGATTCTTCTTCCATCTGACGTCTTGGTCTCCTGTCCCTTGTAGCCTTTACCTACACTCGTTTGACATCCAAAAGGAGGCAGCAGTGTCATTAAGAACTAACCCTAGTAGCCGCTGCGCGCTGTAATTTGATAGACAAAGAGCTAACTTAGAATGAAATTCTATATTGAATTCTATGTCTAAACTCATCACTCTAGCAAGGGTAATATAAGAAAGTAAAATAAAAAAAAGCCCCGGCAGAATCTAAAGCCAAAATAGAACTTAAATCTTTGCTCATGGCAAATAGATCTCTGTATTCGTCGTCATGCCATGAAGATCCCATATGTCTGAAAGCTCCTGGGATGCTATTGGAAGAGGGACATGCATCGCTCAATTCCAAGGGACTCAGCCAGGAACTCATTAACAAACTGGCAGTGCGGGTCCATCTGCTCCTGAATATCGAGCCAGCTGTTGATCTTCGGGTAGATGGTTGAAGCGTAAGTCTCGTTGTTGAACAACATCTTATTCCAATGAGGGCGGACATTGTATTTTTCACCGAACATGGGAATGAACTCTTCTAAAAGGTCTTGGTAGAACCACTGGAGGGTGTAATTGTTGTAGCTCGGGATCCAGGAGTACTCCAGTGTGGCAAAAATACCACTTGCATTAGCCGGCAGGTTGTCCTTGTTAACCGGAGATAACCAGTTATCGTCACCCTTGATGAACCGGGTGATGACCGTAACATCGTCACTCAAATAACCCCCGTGCAGGCCTTCCTCGATAGGGTTATCAAGTTGGTAAGGCTTCATGCGATCAGACTGGGACAGGGCGTAGTTGAAGTAATCCTTGCCAGCTTCGGCCAAGTTCTCCATGGGGAAGAAGTGCTCGAATTGGCCCATAAACCCACGGTAGCAGATACCAGCCGGGGGAGTGGCGATGGCATAGTTGTTGTAGTCGTAGCAGATATAGTCGCGGTCACAGCGGCCACAGTCATTGGCGCAGAAGTCCACAGAGCAGTTTGGGGCACCCTTGTAGTCGGTCTCCTCCCAGTATACTAGAGTCAGACTGGTCCGAGGCACAAGCTCCTCGGTGGTGACATTCCAGTCCAGGTTGGGACCGATGATGTTGACCTGCTCATACTTGTCGGCATACTCTGCAATCGTCTCGTAAAGTTCGGTGATGTCTTCAGGCCCCTCGACAATCTTGGTAGTCCGCTTCAGGAATGATAAGGGTTCTGCCTGGAGAGTGACCTCGACGACGATGCCCAGAGCTCCGATGCCAATTCTGTAGGCCTTCAGCAGATCGGGGGTATGCTCCTGGGAGATGACATGAATATCTCCCTTCGCATCCAGCACGCGCAGGCCGATGATCTGGTTGGCAAGGTTCTGATGCTGCTTGCCAGTGCCGTGGGTACCAGTAGTTGCAGCACCAATGTAGTTCTGCACCATCTCGCTACCGAGGTTGGCCACCTGGAGGCCATTTTCCTCGAGAGTCGGGATGAGATCAATCAGATCCCAGCCGCCACCAAAAGTGACGGTGTTGTTCTCAAAGGTTTCCAGATGCTTCAGATTCGTCAGACTGAGAATGTAAGAGTCTCGCTCAGTCTCTCCGTCATTGACACATGTTGTGAGGTTGCCGAAACCATGGCCATTTCCAACTGGCTTGAGCATGGTCTTTTGCGGGTATTGGGTTCTAACAAATTCAACAAGGTCCGCTTCATTGTCAGGCACAAAGTAGCCTGTGGCCTCGCATGTAATATCGAATTGCCAATTGAACCAGCGGTGTGCCAGGGCTCCTGAGCCGTTCAAGGCAAGGAGGGACAGAAAGGCAGCGCCCAAATATGAGCTAGAGCCAACCATATTGAGTGGATTGGCTATATCCTGGAGAATGAAGGATCAGCATGGACTTTAGAAGGGTGAGAGGCAATCTTGTGGTCTCTAGTTCATACCAATTGCTGAAGAGGCTGGAGTGAAATGGAATGTGAGTGCTATAGTGAAAGACGTGGGCCAGAGTGATGCTTTTATGTCAAAATCCCACGAGATCCTCTGATCAATCTAATGATTGATACCCATCATCCGGCAAAAAGGCTCTTGTGGGATATTAAACCCCGAGTCCCACAATATCCGTGGGTTTTTTTTAGATCTTTGAATGAAGATTGTCCTTCTAGCATCGCCTACATCTTGTTAATTGGATAGAACAATCGTCGATCATCCTTTTTAGGGTCATACCAATGGCTTGGTACTTGGGCAGCATCCTAGGTAAGGTTAATTCAAGTGAGCTGACCCGGCAATGCGTATGGCCGAACCTTTTTGGCGTAAATAAGAATGAATTTGATCGACGTTCATGTCTTTCCATAGCGTTCCGTGCAAATGCAGACCAGGCTTAATACGTCTTTGAGATCAGCCATTGATGTGGCAAATTGGCCAAAAAAAAAAGGTCGAGCATTCTGATCTGATCTAGGGCTCAACGTGGACACTAAACAACCATGGTGTCGTGCATCTCATTATGCGAACTTGGTGGACTACTTGGGGATCTATTACAAATGCCAACACCACGTGGGACGAACTCCCGATGTCGCACCAACCTTGGAAGGAACCTTATCTCCCTTTTCGGATGATGATGCACTCTACAACATAAGGCTGCCCCAGGCACTCAAAGACCACCGGGCCGGTAGGCTCAGCCACCCGCTGTGCCGATCTCTATCTTCATCTCGTATACTCCGTACTCGTACACGAATCCTTACGAGAACCGCTTAGATCAGGGTATCATTACCGCGCCATCCGCAGCAAAATCATAAGATAATGACGTGCTTATCCCTAGCCGAAGCTTCGGCTAAGTTCAATAATACCTCCGTGTGAAAGGGCGGATTTTGTAAGCCAATCCACATAGATACGTCCTTTGCTATTAACATCTTCGAGGTCAGGGTTGATTGGCGGTTCATGCGCGGATAAATTCGAGACGCACTGTAGATCGTCAAGAACTAGACACATTCCAAGGTTGTTCGACAACTTCTCGTCGATCAGAATTATCAATCAGCAATACAGTCTTGGCGGGGTCCCACGGGGTATTGATCGGCGTATAGAACGAACAGCACCTATTTTCAGGCAATACGACATCGCATTCTATTGCCGGTGGGCATATAGTCAAAGGTTGCGAATGGCTAAGTCTGCGTTCTTGTTATCTTGTTGTCGTTATCGATCAGCACTACTTCCCTTGGTAGGGAGACAAACTCTTCCGCGGTAAATAATAGTCTCTAGAAGTGGGGAGGATCTACAATCAGTACTCCTGCAGGTACTCCCCGAGATCTGCTTGAGATAGAGGTATTATTAATGCCAAGCACCATGCAGAAGGCTTTCGACGTCGGTATTGTGACAAAAGATAACGAGCTCCGACAACGGAAAGTCCCTGGACCGCTAACGGTCTGAAGATATCTTTAGATAGCCAAGGCATGGCCCATCGATCTGAATAACACCGAATTTTCCCCGCTAAAAGTTGCAGCTTGAATCTGGCAGCAGCCCTTTCAAAGTTCGGTCAAGATGTTTGGCTCGCACGTCCATTTCGTCCTCTGGCTGGCCTTCCTCGCTCAGGTAGATGTGACCAAGACCACAATGGTCGCCTTAAAGTATCGAGTATCGACATTCCTACCGTGTACTTGGTAGTAAAAAAAAAGAACTTGGCAGCTGTGGGGTTTGAAAGCTCCTGTCCAGCCCGGAAGCCACACCGAGCCCATATGAATGTACTACTAAGTACACGTAGGAATGTCGATACCAAGCTTCTATCTATACTATATGTCCTGAAAGGGCAATAGAAATATCAACCTATAGAGTTACACAAAGGTAGTTAAGGGAAGGAATTTTGCAGATATCAAATGATAGGATGAGTAGATCTTGAATATCTCACTTCAGTTCAAATATTTCTCATTTCAGATTCGCAGTTCTCGTGCTATTCACCACAGTCTCCTCGTCAAGGTTTGTTAACGTGATGAGGATATGGGGATATTCGGCTTCTCCGAGTCTGGGGACTCTATCATACAAAGCATTAGCGACTTGGGACACATCGCTACACGTAACGCTCCTGTCCAGTCCGGAAGCGACACCGGGCCCAGTACAATCATGCCGTCGGTGTACAGGTCCTGCCAAGATGCACTTTCGACTGTTCAACCCAATGTTTTGAAGAACAAAGATGTCATCATATAAATATGTGGAGATTGAGCCCTGAAGGGTATTATGGATTCCTCCTTTTGGATTCTTCACCGGAAATAAAATAACTGCGATTCGGCAGTTTGGCCGAGTGGTTAAGGTTAGACCGCCCAAATTCTGCCAAACCAGAATAAATTAGACTAACAAAATTAAATAGGCGCCAGACTTAAGAGAATTCTGAATTCTGGTCACGAAAGTGTCGTGGGTTCGAACCCCACAGCTGCCAAGTTCTTTTTTTTTTGCTTTGCCCTTATAAACTAGTTAGTTTTCGTAAGCCTGTTTCCTGCTGACAGAGCAATCTTCTGGTCCAAAGTTGGCCCCAGGATTGGCCCCAGGGGGTGATGACATATGCAGGAGCATCCATATGTTCGAAGGTCAATTGATCGGTACAACCAGGTTGTGTACGTCGTTACAGGTAATATCAGTATCAAATCACAGTGCTGATATAAAGATAACTGAAGCTATATGCAAGAGCAGGAGACGCCTAGTAATGGTATCATGTATTAGTAGCAAGTCGCCAGTGTTCTATGCCTTCCTTGGCCCAATTTACTTCTTCCTAGCCTGCAGTGTCTAGGCGCATGTGCACCAAATTTCCGTTCTAAACAAGGACGTATAATGCACACATCTAAAGAGCAAGCAGGGTTAGCATCAAATATACTGGGATGTTGCATATCTCAGAGTGAAAATGTAGATCTTACCATAGACAAACCCAAGATCATTGAGACCCAGAAGAAGGCATTCTAGAAAGGAAGTCAGTGAGACGACAAAATACCAAAGAAAAGAAATGACAGCTTACGTTAAGGATTGTCCGGCCACGGAAAAAGCGAGACTTTTGAATCGCGACAATAGGCAGCTGAAGCATCATAGCTAGGAAACCGTATCCCCGAAGCTTCTTGGTGATGCAGCTCATGACAAGCTCATGAAATATAGAGCTGACCAGGAATGTGATGACCATAGCCACAGGCTGGGAGAAGTTACATCGAGCGGGCCAGTAGACGTGGCGGAAGAGGAAGTGGTGGACAGGGACGTTCCACTCGCGGGAAAATTCCATCCTACGTAGAAATCGTTAACCGTATTATCCGAGCGCATAAGACCGCAATATCAACTTACCAGTCACAGGAATTCCACCAGTCTGCATAGAAGTGACGATCGGCGAACCGAGTCAGCTCTGCAAACGCACCCAACACATATTCGAAGATGACGAGGAACACCAGCAGGAAGATGATCATGAAGGGAAAGAGGAGCATGCTGATTGTTTCGGCAAGGACGAGAGCCTTGTCTGTGGCGCTGAAGGCGACACGGAGTTGGGAATTGGCCTCTGCCAACACGGGGACGATGAATTCCTCGCTTGTCAGGGTGAGCAGGAAGATGCAACCAAATACAGCAGCGGCCTTCCAGCCTATTTCTGACCAGCGTCGCTCCTTTCGGCGGGGATACTCTAGCTCATAGCAAAGGGTCGGGCAAAAGAGGAAGTCAACATAGTTCCCAATGTGCAGGTTCTGCGGGTATGAGATGTTGCCGAGCGGGGAGGTCAACTCCGTGGCCAGGTCTTCGCGAAGCCTCTCTAATGGCTCTGTGGACTGGTCTTCATCACGCTGCTTCATTGAGGGTCGACGTCGGTGTACCTCCGGGTAATGAATGGCAGCCGGTTGCTCAGGTGTCTTTGAGCCAGGCTTATCAAGTGAGGCTAGGCGACGCTGGGTCTCGCTGAGATGCCCGTTATAGAAAGCGTATGAATGCAGTTTCATTAGAATGGTCAAGGTGTGCAGCGTGAAGAACACCTGCGCAGTCCAGGTCCATCGCATCATGAAGGGCCAGCTGTTTTGTTCCATGTCAGCCCTCTTCCGAGTTTCAATATCCGAACAAGCCACAAACTCACTTTATCCATAGAACCAGCCAAAATGCCTCGCCCAAGCTCTGTAAGATCATTCCCCCGCGCGACCATCGTAGCCATTGCGGACCAGCCCGCCACAGCCGGTGCATAGGCAAGACGAGTCCCGAGCTCATCACCATGGCCGCATCGCTGAGCCCCATCCCCCACACATTGGCTGTCAAGAGACTCCAAACGCGCACCTGTAGGGGGTATCCGGTATCCTTGATATTGCGCAAGATGCTGGTCCCGACCATGATGGCCAAGCCAATCCAAAAGAGTGTGAAGAACCCTCGGAAATTATGGTAATCGCTATCGGGATCAAAATGGGACACACGAGGTACATAGTTTATTGTATAAAACAGGCGATTGCGGGCGCGGACTTGCTTCCTCGCGGAAGAGATCGAATGCGCTGATGGGGGAGCATCTTCGGACACAGGGGTTGAACGGCCACTGCGGATGCGATAAACGGGTTAGCTATTGCTCTAAACATAGTCCAGCTGTGTAAATCGAGGGCATTTCACCTTGTATCCTGGGCTAGCTTATCCACTGGAAGAGGGAGAGCCACGTCAGACTTTCCATGCTGAATCGGCACGGCGCGCGGCCGTAAAGTTGCAGATTCATTCTGCGAGACGGCGCTAGACATCCTATGTGGACACAATTGCAGAATCAGGGGGGTTTGCACATTGAAAACACTGAGATGAAAAGGAACACCTAAGAATATGTGGGGTCAGCTATGTTTGGATCTGTTTGGACTCGAAACTCGAAATCCAAAATCACGGCCCACTAC